TTCCACGTGCACATTCTTGAAAATGTTTGAATGTTTTTGATAGGTAGGGAGCTTTCTTTGAATGGTGTGTTGGATTTAAAAACATTTAGAATATCGAAATAGTATTTAAGTGCATATTATTATGTTTTTGACTTCCAAAAACCAAAGGATATTAATGTTGTTAACTTTTGTTGTTTTAGTTGTCTAACTAAAATTACCCTTACCTAATTAATAAACTAAATACTACTATTATAATTTACTCGTCCATATTCAAAATATAAACTATCAGTTTATACTAATTTTATATTTTATCTTAAGTTTAAAATAGGCTACACGAACAAGTGTGTAAGCAAGCCAAATATTTTAAAACTACTATCATAGTAGTAGTATTAGAATCATCGTTACATGGTTGAACTATGAAAAACGCATCCGAAGTCTTAAGTTATCTGTAGGTATTGACTAGGCCTCTACCTCTATGTTTTGGTTTATTTTATTGTATTGCTAAAATCTGAAAGTTCTCATTTATTGTAAATATATTACTAGCAAAGCGTAGAATAGGGGCATTCTATGCAGTGCCTAAAGCTGTCAGGCAAAGTATGAAATGGAGTAATAATAATATGATTTATAGGCTTTGTCTAAGTTTTGTGATGTCAAGAATGATCTTAAGCACTTTTTTTTAGTCATACCAATCAAATAATCAATCGAATCATAAATTGAATATGTCTATATATTTTTTGTTTGAAGGAGCAGACATCTCGTTTTTCAATTATCATCATAAAAAATGAGTTATTCAAAAAAATATATTTAAAAAAAAAATAAAAAAATCTCCGAAACACGTCATAGGTAAAAAAAACTCCACAGTAGAACTTTTAGAGCTTCTTTTTATCTTTGTTGTATTTGGAATTTGCGGCCTCTATTTGATTCAATACACTGGATCCTAGGTCCTACCACAACAATTACAGACATTATTTCTAGCTGTTTGCAAAATGTTGCCAAAATTATAAAAATAAAAATTAGATAACACTCCATTCAGTTCTAGAGAGGAGTGGTTTGATTATATATACGTTATATACGGTAAGCCCTCACTAATTACCCAGCCTTACTTCCTACTCTTAAGATGGGTGGACGTATATTGTCTGAGTGTATGGCTGGAATACTCTAGTAACCTGAAGCCTTAGGCCAGTGCCTTTTTGATTTGTCCAACCCCTCTGATAAATTACTTTCAAAATTCGTTTAAATTATGTATTTTTATATATTTTTAATACATTTTTAAGATTTTATCATTGGGGAAAATAGTCAGGGATAATTGTCACAAATTGTGTTTATTGCTGTTCATAAAACTTATAATATGTAAGAAAGCAATAAATTTGCATTCGACTTCAGTACTAATATATTGCAATTAAATTGTGGAGAGTCAAAAACTGTAGTTCAGATCAGATTTAACCTATTGAACAGGTATTTGTAGTAACCTTATATCTTTAGTAAGATCGTAGTAGTAGCATAGTAGCCAGTGTCTACAGAGTATATTTCAAATGTTTACAATAAATAGTAGCCAGCGTCTACAGAGGATATTTCCAATGTCCACGATAAATAGTAGCCAGCGTCTACAGAGTATATTTCAAATGTTTACAATAAATAGTAGCCAGCGTCTACAGAGAATATTTCCAATGTCCACGATAAATAGTAGCCAGCGTCTACAGAGTATATTTCAAATGTTTACAATAAATAGTAGCCAGCGTCTACAGAGTATATTTCCAATGTCCACGATATATAGTAGCCAGCGTCTACCTACAGAGTATATTTCAAATGTTTACAATAAATAGTAGCCAGCGTCTACAGAGTATATTTTAAATGTTTACAGTAAATAGTAGCTAGCGTCTACAGAGAATATTATAAATGTTTACAATAATCAGTAGCCAGCGTCTACAGAGAACATTTTAAATGTTTACAGTAAATAGTAGCCAGCGTCTACAGAGAATATTTTAAATGTTTACAGTAAATAGTAGCCAGCGTCTACAGAGAATATTTTAAATGTTTACAGTAAATAGTAGCCAGTGCCTACAGAGAATATTTCCAATGACCACGATAAATAGTAGCCAGGGTCTACAGAGTATATTTCCATTGTGTCCACGATAATTAGTAGCCAGGGTCTACAGTTTCCAATGTCCACGATAAATAGTAGCCAGGGTCTACAGAGAATATTTTAAATGTTTACGGTAAATAGTAGCCAGCGTCTACAGAGAATATTTTAAATGTTTACAGTAAATAGTAGCCAGTGCCTACAGAGAATATTTCCAATGACCACGATAAATAGTAGCCAGGGTCTACAGAGTATATTTCCATTGTGTCCACGATAATTAGTAGCCAGGGTCTACAGTTTCCAATGTCCACGATAAATAGTAGCCAGCGTCTACAGAGTATATTTCCAATGTCCACGATATATAGTAGCCAGCGTCTACCTACAGAGTATATTTCAAATGTTTACAATAAATAGTAGCCAGCGTCTACAGAGTATATTTTAAGTGTTTACAGTAAATAGTAGCTAGCGTCTACAGAGAATATTATAAATGTTTACAATAATCAGTAGCCAGCGTCTACAGAGAACATTTTAAATGTTTACAGTAAATAGTAGCCAGCGTCTACAGAGAATATTTTAAATGTTTACAGTAAATAGTAGCCAGCGTCTACAGAGAATATTTTAAATGTTTACAGTAAATAGTAGCCAGCGTCTACAGAGAATATTTTAAATGTTTACAGTAAATAGTAGCCAGTGCCTACAGAGAATATTTCCAATGACCACGATAAATAGTAGCCAGGGTCTACAGAGTATATTTCCATTGTGTCCACGATAATTAGTAGCCAGGGTCTACAGTTTCCAATGTCCACGATAAATAGTAGCCAGCGTCTACAGAGTATATTTCCAATGTCCACGATATATAGTAGCCAGCGTCTACCTACAGAGTATATTTCAAATGTTTACAATAAATAGTAGCCAGCGTCTACAGAGTATATTTTAAATGTTTACAGTAAATAGTAGCTAGCGTCTACAGAGAATATTATAAATGTTTACAATAATCAGTAGCCAGCGTCTACAGAGAACATTTTAAATGTTTACAGTAAATAGTAGCCAGCGTCTACAGAGAATATTTTAAATGTTTACAGTAAATAGTAGCCAGCGTCTACAGAGAATATTTTAAATGTTTACAGTAAATAGTAGCCAGTGCCTACAGAGAATATTTCCAATGACCACGATAAATAGTAGCCAGGGTCTACAGAGTATATTTCCATTGTGTCCACGATAATTAGTAGCCAGGGTCTACAGTTTCCAATGTCCACGATAAATAGTAGCCAGGGTCTACAGAGTATATTTCCAATGTCCACGATAAATAGTAGCCAGGGTCTACAGAGTATATTTCAGGGTTTGAACAGCTTACTTAAAAAATGCATTAATATATGATAAACCAAATAACCAACATATTCACCACACAAAATGCCAGTGAATGAGTAAGACTAGTTTCCCGGCCTTTGTTAATTTATCTTGCGGTTTATTTTCGCATCGAACGTCCTTTTCGCCTTCTTTTTACTCAGCGATTTACATATTTATTAACAGGCATATTAAGCAGACAGGTTCCATACGGGAGCCTGCTTGCATTTCAAATGCTATCATATTAATACTAGCTTAAATCACATCTCCCATTTACATGTGTAATGTCACCTGTCAATGTTACATATTGTCCTGTAAATATTTACAAATTGGGTGTATATATATTGATTAGTGATGAAAGGCGTATTAACTTTTATCTGGATGAAAGTTACAGATTAAAATAAAATAGTGTAAAAACAAATAAATAAATTACAAATAAACTACAAATAAATTGGACAGCTTGAAAAAAGTTTTAACATCTGAAGATGTGTAAATTTGACGTTGCTATTAAAAGATGATTTGAATTAAAATTGTGTCTATCAAAGAGATACAGTGCTACTTTATGGAATGTTATTCCCTTAAAATTCGGCAAGTCAACATGCAAATTTAAACGCTAAAATATAAGATAAAAGTAAGACGTCATAGTTCCTAATAACTTCTACTGCGATGAAGAAATGTGTGCTGATATTTCGCCACCTTTTCGCAACCTTTCGGTTACCTCACTTATCATAATGTCTGGGGTACATCAATTTACATCTTAATAGCACCTGTTTACAATCTTTCACCCGAAGTGTTGTTTGAATTTCCGATAGGACGGTCTCTGGAGAATATTTGTCCGTTTATATGGAACGTGTAAGCCTTTTTATATAACAAAATACAATTAGCCTCACAATTTAAGCAGGATGACTTAAAGTGAACTTAATAGCCTACTCACAAGGGTATTAGAAGTATAAAAGAGATTTTCTTTCGGATCACCTAAGTATTATAAACTTAAAAATTAAAATAATGATATTTAAATCATTGTATTGACATTAACGATAATTTTTGTTTACCAATTGTAAATGTTTTTAAAGAAGAAGCATTATGATCATGACAAAATTATTGTGGTAGGTTTCCTTGTAAACACGAACAGTAAACAAACAGTCATCTGCTTGCTCTAAGTTACTTACGTAAATTACGTTAACTTCGTGTGTGTTTGTCAACATCTGCTGGCGATGTGAAATGCAAGGAACTAGGAAAGATGTTTCAAAGATCATCCATGTCTCTCTACACTAACTTAAGCAACTAATTTTGTTAAAATATAAATTTATTACAAGCTGAAGATTGTGCTTAATACTGCTAAGTAGTATTGGTGTTGATAATAAGTTTTAAAGCAATAGTGTAAAATAACAATCCTCCTAAAAACTATAGAAACGTGAATATCAATGTATGGTGTCCTTTAGCAACGTCACTAGCTGTAATAACCACCACTGCCCTAACGACATTTCTAATGTTATCCATACTCGTGGATGGTAACAATTGAGCGATTAAATTGGTCTCTTTTGTGATTAAAGTATGTTTGGATATGTATATAATGTAAGGTACTGTTATGACTTACTTTGGAATTTCACCAATTTTGGGATGGCGGCCACCCCGGCGGCATGACGCTGAGGAAATCACTGTGGAGCTGGAAGTGTTACCAACCCACCCACAAGTTGCAGGTGCTGAAACAAAAAATACGACACTAAACATCAGTGGTATCAATCATTCCAATACTAGAATGTTCTGCAAATTAACAGTACACCTCATTGTTACCAATCCACCCGCAAAAGTTGCAGGTTCTGCGATAAAACAGTAAACGTCAGTTATAACATACTTTTAGTAACGTGTGGTACACAAAGGTTATGAATTGTCTACAACAGCTGCTACTGGACCAATCTGATAGAAAAATTCGGCAAAAAACACAATGTTACTATACAAATCGAATATACAGAGTAACGCCATTACTTTTCACTGTCCAAAATGTTAAAACGTCAGTAAAATATTGAATACTTTATATAAAGTAATTATGCAGCCCACTGAAATCAATTGTATATTTTTTTATAATGCCAGATAGAGAAAGCATTAGCAATTTAATTGAACTACAAATTACTGCAGATAATAATTGCCGTTGTAGACTGTAATACAACGCACGAATTCTCAATAACGTATTCCAGTTGAACATGAAACCAAGCAGTTCCTTGAAAATAGTTTCTCAAATATCTAGTTAAAAAGTAGGGTAAGCGTGTATACCTCCACACGAAACGCAGGGCCGGGGGCTTGTATTTGAAAGTTCTAACTATATTATTGAATTGCACAACTTAACGTGTAACAGGGAAACGGACAGAGAATGTAGCGTTGAGTCTAGTTGAGTGGTATTTGACAATGGCAGTGGTAAACATATGAGGCAACAACCACGTCCAATAAATCCAGTACAGTAAATTAATGACAATTGATCAAATGACGTATAATAAGATTTTGTTCATTTAAACAGGCGGAAAATTTTATTTTTCTACAGTCACCCGACAAAGTGGCTTCCTTGCACAGATTCCTTGTACAGAAAAACTTACTTTGGCGCGCGGTTTTTACTTTAGCGCACACCAGTATTTCAACCAAACAACACAAAACAGCGTGCTTTTATTATGCACGTAATCCGTGTACACTTGAAAATAAGCTTGCAACACTTTTAAGATATTTCGACTAAGATCAACTGGTGCAGCGTTTCCCATTTCGTTCAATGTTTGAATTTAACCTAACCCATAAACGTATTGTACAGTGTTTGAAAGACTAATTATTTATATGATTTATAGTAACTGTAGGCAAAAATATAATGTGTAGTACGAGTGCAAACTGCCTTTACTGCACTCGTGCATAAACATTTCTCTCGTGTGCAGCAAAGTGCCACTAGTTACTCAAATAACTATTTACCAGGAAAGACAAGACGTTAGGATTGGACAAGTAAAAGAAACAGAGCTATGGGTTCTATGTCAGTATGTATCTATTAGTGTAATATAAATACCAAGATGAAATCCTCCGAATGGAAATGTTCCTGTACTCAACATCTTGCTGACGATGATGTTATAGCTTCGAAATTGATATTAGCAATATCTCAATTTCATACTGCTAAGGTAAGAAAAACTGCTAGTATATGCAAGAAATCTAAGGCCAAACAATATAAATTAAAAAAATAAAGCAAGAAGTGTTTACATTGAAGAATTGAATTAAATTCTGTTAAATCAATTTATGTTGCTCAATTGAATTAAATTAGAGTTCTGTCTCTGTGCCGTGATCGGGTTACAATAAGTGTTGTAGGCCTACATGAAAATGTTTTGTTCGTGCGTGTTAAATGTATATACCATTTTATGTTTAAATGTTAATTTCTACAATTTGACAAGTCCAATTCGGATATTATAATGTTTCAATGTTTCTGTGTACCACTTGAAAATTGCAACATGGCGAAACATGTAGTGGATTAAAAAACACACTATTTTAATTGCAAGACGAGGTATGTTTTAATTTAGAAGAATTAAACTTGTAACAAAAAAGTGTTAACATATATAAGGAACGTAGCCTATTTTGTAAATTGGTGGTATGAGCAAATTTAATTAACATTGTCTTTTTGAGGGATGTGATCAACAAATGTTTAGAGAGGTTCATGAGATAGGTTGTAATCACTAACAAGCCAAATAGTTAGGAATTATTTGTATTTGCAATTTCTACAAAATTGCTTTTGGACACACAAAACTGTATTGTTGATTGGAGCTACCGAAAATTATTAATTATTAACTAAAAAACAAACAAAACAAATAAATAGCTCATAAGTCATCAGGTTATTTACACAGAGTAAGTAAAAATGTAAGCAGTTGGTAATTGAAACATAACGTTTAAAGTACAGGGAAAAGTAACAAAAAAGAATCCTATTATTAAGAAATCTGCTACATCCACACTTTTATTCTGTTGAGTTTTTGGATTATAAATTCTATAAAATACGATACTCGTGAAGAATTGTTTACGAAGAGTCGAAAAACTGCCTGTTCTTTAAAGATTGCTTAGTTTGTAATTTCAGTTTATAAATAAATACACCATTTACCCATGAATTACGTTGCTTATCCGATTGTTTTTGTTTTTATAAAGTAGTTTGGTGATTATTTTTTCCTACAGAATTTCTGAAAGGAAATTAAATATTTACCTATTATTATATAAAACCAGTAAGTGTTCATTAAAAAAAAAGTTATTCAAACACAAATTTATGTTGAAAATAACTCAAAAGATATATAGTTTATATAAACATGAATTTACATTTGTGTAGCTATTTAATATTTTATTACATTAATGTTTAAATTGAAATGGAAAACGTAAAGAGGTTTAAAACAAATTGATTTAAATATCAGGGAACTAAAACTACATCAAGTATGTCCCTTTTATAATTTTGTTTAGAAAAGATAATTCGTCTTTCCCACAATTTTACAAAAAGTAGATTATGTTACCGATTGGAAAGAAATTAATATGTAAATTTGCTTGTAGTTTAAATTAGATTTTTAATTTTTAAAAGAACTACCGTTTCGAAGCATAGGGAATATTTTGAAACGAAATAAGCAGTTCCCTTTAATTAATTTAGTACCAGTACAATGTTTGAATATATTTAGATCTTAAGAAACATAGAATTTGTTTTAGGATTTTTTTAAAAAATTTTATATTTATATTTGATAAAGACTATGTGTAGTTAGCGTATGTGGTTGATTAATTAATACTATGCTAGTATTAAATGTAGTGTTTTATTCATCCGAATACATTATTTATATAGTAATACTTACCAACATCAGGAAACTAATGGTGTACTATCAGTATTACAATATCGTATACTTCCAGACTCAATTGGTTCGTTTCATTTTATAGAAATGACACACAGAACATATATCATGATCAAATATTGTTACATAAAGTGCATATACGTAGATGGTATGGTTGAGTAATATTATGATCGTTACTTTTGAAAGAAGATCAAGAGAAAATGTTTTCCCAGAATACTCAATTTCTATCACTTTGATGCGTTTAAAACATTTTCATGCCTTATTGCACATCCAGATTTTATTTGAAGAAGAAAAAACCCAACCCTTAATGGTTATTTATTTGTGGATGGGTTTACAGGTTACAGTTCTTTGAATATAAATTTTAAAATATATTGCAAACCCACTAGAGGTATATGGCGGAACTAAAGGAACTATGCTATAATTTTCGCACTATTAACACATAAAATTCATCTCAGTAGTTATCACCATTGACTTTCATATTGTAAAATCTGAAGCAGTGTGTTTCATGCCCGATTTCATTTGAGTGATGTCAACGAAAGAAATCATATTTTATCCTATCTGTACAGAGTGCACCGTTGGTTGAAATACAGGAGGTCAAGTTCTAGTTTGATAAACAGGTCCTATATGGGAAATATGCTAATACTGAGCTTTACATAATAAAACAAATGTGTAAGTTGGTTCAATATTGAAGAATAAACAGTGAACTCAAATAGTCATCTCATTCAAAATGGACTCTACATATACCGGGCAAAGAAAACCTTAGATTTTCCTTAGCCGATGAGTTAGGATTAAAAATCTAACTTAAATCATGGTTCCGTTTTAGGAGTTTTAACTTATGGTTGTTCTTTCCGTAACTCGAGCTCTAGAAATAAAAAGATTACTGAGGGTGGGCAAATTTTAAAAATATTTAGCGTCATCATCAACTCAAGTCCCTTTGTCCACAAAAGTACCAAATGAAGTTGATATCACTCATTTTGCCAGTAATATTTAAATGTGGCTACATTCCGACAAAATGACCGGCTGATCAGAATGACCTCTGGCAAGAGGAACGTTGCCGCTAGCGTGTTAATAATATAAAACACTCTCTAAAGCTCGACCATTTAAAATAAACCAGATAGTAAAGCGGTACTGCGATAACAAGCGCCTTAAAGACACTTATAAGCGATTAATTACATTAAAGAGCGGCGATTGCTGAACGGATATTCGCGAGAGCAGTAATTTAGCCAAGAGCCTCCGGTATTCTGGTAGATTCATTCTTCGCAAAACCGCAGGATGAGATGGTTACCTGACGCCGCCGGCTGAGAGCGCAGAAGCACGGATACGCGGGGAAAGTGGACAAACACCGGATCCGTCTGGGGTACTGGACCTGATGGTATAAATATTGAAGGTGAAATGATGATATCAAAGGATAGGTCTTACAATATAACAGACCATCCGTCTGGGGTACTGGACCTGATGGTATAAATATTGAAGGTGAAATGATGATATCAAGGGATAGGTCTTACAATATAACAGACCATCCGTCTGGGGTACTGGACCTAATGGTATAAATATTGAAGGTGAAATGATGATATCAAGGGATAGGTCTTACAATATAACAGACCATCCATCTGGGGTACTGGACCTGATGGTATAAATATTGAAGGTTAGATTATGATATCAAGGGAGAACAGACCATCCGTTTAGAGAATTGGACCTGATAGTAAAATTATCATGCAAAATTTTAAGAAAAAGGTCATACACAAGTTCAGGAATGATCTGAGCGTGAAAAATGATCATATATAGTGATGAATAAAGTGATGAGACGAATGATGAAAAAAGGATATTATAAAAATGTAAAATGTAAGAACATGAAATGTAAATATCTTATTTATAGACATATCGTTTATTATTGATGACTATAGATGAGTAGTGTTGTTGTAAAATAATATTTGAAATAACAAGAGTGAGGACAAAAGCAAGAACCTCGATGTAAAGGTGTAGTGATTATAGATTATGGTATAAAAGTGACTGTATAAGCTGAGGGACGATACTCTAGATAAAACATTCGTCAAGAACAAATTTATTATATGGTATAAATGGTAAGCAATTATATAGAGGGAGAAAATACCCCTAAACTGACTAATGGTTTGATATTATAGCGGTTGTTATAAAGTACTACTGCTATATTACGTGATGAAAGTGATGTAGCAAATTAATGGTATAAAATGACGTCACGAAGTGATTACACTAAGAGAGACTGTGCTTTACCCGGCAACTGAACGCATGGATACAACGACAATAACAACCCGTTGAATTATTATATGAAACAACGATTTATGTTATTTATGTATGTAGGTTTGGATACCATAGGAAATCCTCCATCCTGATTGGGAGGGTTTCATTTAGAAGTTAAAATGAAATGACTACTATTTTATATGAAGTTGATATTTTTTTAAAGAACCTATATAGATTAAGTTATTTTTTATAACTATAGCATTAATACACTTAGTAAATCTTGTTACCATAATTAATTATTTCACTGAACTTTGGCTCGGCTGGTCTACTAGTTAAAATAAGGGATTTAATCAGTGACAGGAGCTCGAGTTCATCCTAAACACACGCTTAGGTATTTTCCGTTACATGATTACATGATTATTTTAGGCTTATTGAGCGTTATGATCATTTATCAAACACACCAGGTTGTATGTTTAGATGAGTGGGCCCATTTATGAATATCACCTCTTTGTGCGTCTCAAATTGACAAAATTTAACATGATGGTTAATATAAATTGTCTTCGGGAGATGGCCACGCGACGACACTGGTCGGTCTTTGGATGCTCTTACTGGGAAAGGTTAATTAGTCACCTTGGTTCAAACTGAAGTAAAATTCTGTTGAAATATCGCTTGCCCAGAAGATAGGTAGCTTCAGCACACTCAAGAAATTGAATAACGTGTTTGTCCGTTAAACAAACTGGTTATCTACCGATGGCTAAGATTCAAAACTACAGCAAAAATAGTTAACTTATTTTTGGGAAGCTAATTTTTAGACTTGGAACCTTTTATATGCATCATCACACTTCAATTACCTGCTAATTTATAGGGTATTCGGGTATGTAGAATAGAAAATAGATCTTACATTTTACTTATTATACATTTCCTCCAACTCACCTTTGACCGTTGCCATGAAATCACGGGCCTTACAGACTTAGGCCGTTTATTTCCGTAACAATGTGGTCTGAAACACACGTATGATAGTAAATATTTGAGAATGGGTGGGCAATTGTAAAAGATCATATCTGTAATACTGAACAATCACAAGTTTGTTATAAGTTAATAACCACGTTTAAACATATTATTGGAAATCCCATTTAGCAAAAAGCCTAATGTTTCACAAACTCGTCTACAATTTTAATTCACTGACCTATTCTACAATACAATAGAAACCCAATTGTTATATTAAACAATAAAATAGGTGACAGTCATAATGCACAATACTTCAACTCTTCGGTATCTTTTACAGAACTAAATTATTAAAACTCCCTTAAACTTTTAAATGGGTGATTAATTTGAAATTAAACTGAAAATATTAAAATTTTTATTTAATCTACGACTTTAATAATGCTGCTTAAGTTGTAAAAATAATTAGTTTTATGCGAGTAATAGGAACACACATTTCATGTTAAAAACTGCGCCATTTTATAAGCTTTCCAACCATAAGCTACACTATTGAGGTTTAGACATTCTTTTGTTTGTTTCAGTGGTTTGAATACCAGAAAACAGGGATTTTTTTACTGTGTTTACCGTTCAAGCTGAAACCAAATAAAACTTTTGCTTATTAATGCATGCCGACTTTCTATGTTTTAAATGTTAAAGACACCATGTTTTGTAGTCTACAAACCACAAAAGCGTACATCAGCATACATAAAGCTCAATGGTGTAGCATATGGTTGGAAAGCTTTTAAAATGGCGCAGCTTTTACCATATTTGGACACTTTCTTGTATACAGGGTGTGAACAAATGCAATAGACCAATGTTTTTAAAATGTTTATCAAAGATCTTAATTTTTATCTTTGAATTTATTTACAATGGAGTTTTTATAACTGATCCCCCATCATTTTCTATTATCCTTATTCAAAATTTAATGTAGAACACGAAAATGACATTATCTACTCAAATCCATTAACAGGTAATTTAGAAATAGCTGTATTAAGTTTAAAAACATAGTTATTTTAGAAAAACATAAAATAATTCCTGGGAAGCTAATTTTTAGACTTGGAACCTTTTATATGCATCATCACACTGCATTTACTTTGTACTTACACCAAAAAACTTTTGTCACACTGACTACCAATAACCCTGTATAATACAAATTTATGTAAGTAAAGTAAATACTGTAAATAACAAACGATCTCAAATGTCGAGGAAAGATACTCTAGACTATATTTTTATTTATAAAAGAAGAAATTCAATCATAAATGTAGCATGTACGCGAAGTATCAGCTTACATTTTTTATTCATTAAGACTTTTTGATTTCTACGAACTGACAAACTAAATGAATTACCTCCGAACATAGGCCAAACACATAATATACTCTCAACACCTAAGTCAAAGTTTAAAGATAAGAAAACCATTTAGTAAATATATGAATAATTTTAGATAGGAGGTAACTAAATTCCCCAAGTAAGGATAGAGGAAAACATACCAATTTATTACTTGATCAATATTCAAAACAATCTTGCTTCCAGGCCAAAAGAGGAGATTCTACATTTCTTAGATCGTAAACATACTTCAAGCTAATAAACCGAAGAAGTCTGACGCCTTAAACCAGTCTTACAAGGTAGTTTATGGGCAACATTTTATTCATTGAACTATCATATTGTAGTACTTCGAGCATAAGTTAAAAGAATTTTCAGAGACTTGATGAGTTTTAGACTTTTTTCTGATATTGAACAACTGATTATTATGTACTGGTGAGAAGAAGACGGGTTGAAAGAAACTCAAACAGTAATTACCACATGAATTTGATTTTATATTTAGGACCGATCGGTACTTAAATGTAGTAAATAGGTGTTTGTGATATGTGTAATGACTGCTTTATTTTAATATGCAAGACGAAGTGATAGCGGATAACCTGATGATGTCACTGTGTTGACGAAACGCGTCGTAGACTACACCAATTTGGAACGGTAGAAGGTAACATTATATTATTTATTGATAACTGAAGTTCCAGTAGTAGGAAATGAATTATAATTAATTAATTGTTCATAGTACGGTATCTTCTGATTACCAGTTATTACAATCATTATTCTGATATGTACATCCAAAATTTCCTGTCACAAATAATTAACATTTTTACACGATCTATTAAAATGTAACTATTCAGGTCGGATCAATAATACCTTTATTATAAATTCCACAGGAATAAATTTTATAAGGAAGAAACCCATTTATAATCTTCGAAAATATAATTGAAAATTTTCAGTCCAGCATTTCTGTCGGGACATTACAGTAAGTGGGTCAAACGCTGGTTTCAGTGCCAATGCATGTGGCAGGAAGGTTGGGTAGAAACAATAGCTGGAGAGGCGGATGAAGTCAGCGTCAACCTTGTACACCGGGCGTCCTTCTTGAAGGTCAATCAGACGATGAGGCTGGACTAGGACTCTGCCGGACTGAGTTATGGTCATAAAGTGAGTGCAAACACAAATATTCCCGACGAAACTGAGGTTCCACACGGAAAGGTGTACGAAAGATGGTATTTATTGAAAGCAATAATAACTCTAGAAAAAATTTCATATTTTGTATGGAGGTGCCACACGTGGCCAACTAAACTAAATTAGAGAATCACCATATTTTAGGTATCAATGTTGCTTAAAGCTTCAAAATATGATTAAGCACTTTCGTGATAGTTAAATGAATTCGTTTACTCAAACAAAATCTACATTTCCATTGACACAGTTATGTGATTATGCGAATCTATTAAAAATGTCACTGACATATTGAATGAATGAATGAATGAATGTATGAATAAATGAATTATATCTTTATTCCAACCAAGTATTTACAGAAATTGTACACAAATAATTAAATTGAAAAAACATAAGTGAATTTAAAAGAATAAATTAAACTATAAACTTTGCATTACATCTATGTTTAACAAAGCGTACATATTTTTAAGGAATAAGCCGACATGGACAGCGAGCCTATGTGCGTCGACTGTAGTTACGTTCAAACGTAACATTATTTGATCAAATACAAAAACTAAATAAATAAATAACAAAAGATATGAGGTAAAAATATGATCTAAATGGAGCTAATGGATCTAAATATGATATAAATGGAGTTAATGGATTTACTGTATTATAAATTACAAATGCTATGACATTTTATTAGTAGTTGACTACTAAGCTGGTTGAGATCATAATTGTCAAATAAATTTAACAGAATTGACGACATTTTTTTAGTATAATTTCATCTACAATAAACCAATATAAAATGAGCTGTTTAATGTTTCAATATACGCTTTGATTGAATTCAACGTAAATTCAGTAAATACTTGGAAATATTTATCAAACTACTGTCCGTCTACTTCGATCGATCAATGACAATTGTGTCCTGACAAGCCCATAGAACTCCCTGAACTCGGTTAAGGGACGTTAAGGATATAAATACTAGGCTTTATATGGTGATATTTGAATACATCATCGACTTTTGTATTATCTTACATATAAAATCCGTTCCAATTTACTATATCAAATACTCTCAGTAAAAAACAATTACGTAATAAAACCCAACGGACTGCAAATTCTTCTTAACAATTATTGACGGATTATTACCGACACATTTTACTGCTATTAATAAATTACATTACACAAACAAACAAATTTGCCCTAAAAGCACGAATACTATAAAAGACCCGGTATGGATCATAAACATAAACAAATGAAGTTTTTGGCCGGAAAGTAAACAAAACCATACGTTAATGATTGCTATTAGTATAGGGGCCAAAAAACTTCATGTGTTTATGTTTTTGATCCATACTGGTATTTTTTAGTATTTGTGCCTAAAAGTATATAAAACGTAAGTTAAACATTGGAGTATTTTGATCTAGCACAGTAAGGATTCGTCAATTTCCTCTGGGAAAAAACTTCTAAGGTTAAGTTGAATTTAAGTTACAAAAATATGCGCTACTAATACTGATCTGTGAATGATTTACATGGTCTCCGAGACTGGTACAGTGAAGTTGGTATTATTTATTACCGTTAGATCATTGACTATATAACACATATTTAATCATAGTCAGTGGTTAAATATACGACGATGGGCAAGATGGCTGTACAATACCAAAGCACTGAGGTAGCTAACCAACGTTTTAGTCAAAATCCTACAAACCTCCAACAATTTTCTTTCTACAAGCTTTGACTGTTGACCTTCGATTTCAATAAGGCACGTGGTACGCTTGGTCACACATAATCCACGAGGATTGGTGTGAAATCCAGCATTATTGGTGAATGAAGGCTAGGGTAGAAAGTGTGCCAGATTTCATGTAGGCTTTATTTATAGCAATATTGTTATTGACTGAGGCACGTAGGGAAGCAAGCTAGCACGTAGTAGACGGGTCAATGCACATGTTTAGCCTTCAACAACTCCACGAGAAACTTAACCATTGTGGTCTGTGATGTAGACTGTTTGTGGGTAGAAAAGGGGGCCCTTTAAAAGGCAGTGTTTGGAAATATTAAAATAATACGTAGCCTAATGTATGTAGGTGTTAATATATCGGAAAGTTGGAAGGCGTGCTTTATTCTATTTATAATAACACCAACACGTGGAATGAAATGAAGATATTTTATACACCATTAAAAATAGCCTGTGATAAGTAAAAATAAGTTACGATTTGTTGTTCTAAATAACCTTTCTATAACTCTCAATAGGTTAATAAGTCAACCTCTATCAATGTGTTTTCCACGTTGTCAGGGTCATTTAGGCGCATATGTAACCAGCATAATATTGGGAAATCTAAAAAGTAGAGGATTCTTTCTTACCAATGATATTAGTAAATTGTAACAACATGACTGATACTTTATTACATTTTAGTACATATTTTAATTACTTCTTGATTGGGTTACATATCTTCACTATTATACTAATATAACAAATACATCTTCACACACTTTACGATTTATCTACATTTAATCTAGCCCCACATGTACGGTAAATACCAGCAAAATTTATTGCAA